TGTCTATCAAAATAAACAATTCATGTCGTGTAGAACATAATCGTATCTACCTACTGGATCATTAAAATTGATGATGCTATTTTTGTGATGCATTGTTTTTTGTAACGAACATAATATACAAATATATACACTACATATAGCTTTAAATGTAAAATTGATTGGTTCTCTGTAGTTCTAGCTACTTTTGGCCAGCACACCAAATTAGGAGTTTATAGTTTATAGCCCATTAGCGGGCAATGACCTCTCGGCGAGCATATAAAACTTTCGTATCGTATCGACTTCACACTGCAAACTTGTCACTACGAGGCGGGCCGACCCGCCACGACGGACGGTCGTTCCGCAACTTTTTGCGGCCCGAGGCTCTTCGGAGAAATGAAAGCTACACGTAGAATCTCACCACTCCTATGTAGTTTGTGAATCGCACCCAACCTCTTCCGTTCCACACGGAACTTCGGACAACACTGGCCACTCACTATTTGTTTACACAGCAACATTTAAAATTGGAATGTAGTGGGGAGATTGGATTGTTAATGGCGCCAAAACATGGCAGCCATATGTATTTTATGATGCAATCGATACCAAATTACTGACTTTGTATTTGTTATAAACGTAATGTAGTCAAGTCAATTAGACTTTTGTTTTTATTACAAATGCGTTTTAAGTTTTTTGAGTATAGAAATTGCAAATTTCACAACCTTAAGAAGAAGCTCCTACAAAATGGATTCAAAGTTAATATTCAATTTCCTAGATCATACATTCACGCTTGGAGTGTACATACTTTATTACTACACTTTATGCCCAATGTTTTATACATGTCACTGAAATAAGTTTCGTATTCAGAAGCGTTATTTCTCAGATCAATGTGAAATGTTAGGATGGTGTTGTATATCATTTACAACTTCAATCTGCAATATAGGGCTTTATCGCAGCATCAACCTGCTCGCTGGTGGTCGACGGCTTTCCTTCACCGCCCAACACATTACCGAAGCCTTCAATCGTACCGAGAACTCGATTGAAAAGGACATAAAGCTCATAATCGATAATCGCCGCTTTAAGAATAATTGCTCGTTTGTTTTTTCGATACTTTATGGTTGTTGGGTTCTCGCCTTTACGGAACTTTCAATGTGAAAGTAATCGATAATTATTGGGTTACGTAACCTATGATTGCTTTGTAAAATATCTCGTGTAAGTTACCAATATTTAAAACATCACAATCTTACCGTGGTCCCCTAAATTCCGCCAACCATTTGTCATTTATTAAGTACTAGCTGATGTCCGCGACTTTGTCGAGAGTTCCAAACTATGTCTGTACCAAATTTCACACAAATAGGTTCAGTAGTTTAGTCGTGAAGATAAGACAGACAGGCAGAGTTACTTTCGCATATATATTGTTTAGATTACACAAAGTAATCTAAACAATATATTATATAATTAATATAAATATAGTCGTATTGAAAAACTAATCTGGGTATAAAACATGGCATATTACGCAGGCATCTGACCTAGACCTGTATATAATCTAGATCTATCACAGAGCAGGCTATAAACCGAAAGCAGAATACATAAACAATATTGTACAAAAAAAGTCATAAATTGTGACTCTAGTTGCCCTTTGTCTTTAAGATCCTTCGATAGGTACCTACTAAAAGTTTCACGCGTCAAGGGAGTAATAGTAAAACACGTAAACTTTAGTGCAATCGTCAATTTCTCACTGCATTTCTAAACGGAGTGTTAATTTCACTACTTTTTACGGTTGTCCGCAGTTGCCGTAAAAACTTAACAGCTTGATCTTAGAGTAATTAACCTAAAGTTGTTGACAACTTATTTTATTGTCTGCTCCATCAACTGCTGTTAGTAGGAATTTGTGTGGCTATTACCAGCCCTGCATAATTAGTTACCTACGTTTCTACAATAAATCTTTCTTTCTACTTGACTTTTCCTCCGTAGTTAGGCTAAGCATCTAACAAAACCAGATTCAGCTGTTTCCGCGTTTTACTCGTTATGTTTAAAGTTTAAATACATGAAAATTGTTTTTCCAGTCTTTCAGTTTCCTTTCCAGTACAATACTATTTACTTGAAAAATTCGTATCTATCTAAAATATTAACAATCATAATTAAATTGCCCATCGGAAAAAATAAAGTTACCTAAATGATTTCCGCGCTAAGTTTTAGTGGTAATATAATTAGCGATATACTCATAGAATTTCATCACAGCATATTGTATTACATTAGCTGCAAGACAAATACCAAATAATTAAAGAATTCTAGAACAAATATTTAAGTTTATAATTGCTTTACGTAATAATTATGATCGTCGTGTAATTTCGCGGTAGGTAGGTAATTATCTAATATTTACCCACGTTTTAATTTAAAATAAGAAGTTGCTTGCGCATCCGCATTTAAGTTTGACAGTTTTTAATTTTCTTTGACAGAAGGCATAGAGAATTTTAAGGGTTCTTAATCGTCGCGCCGTCAGCATAACCACAGATAATAAAACAAGTAAATTTAAGAGACTCTGAAAGATATACCTCATTACTGGAGTTTTCGAGGACTGGGTTGAGTAGGTGTGGAAACCAGATACTGAAAAAAAATATAGCTGTGGATTATTATGAATTAATGCTATCATCATTATCAGCCTACAAGTGCCACCTGCTAAGCAACACTTTTTACATGGAGAAGTATTGAGCATTAATCACCACGGTTGCTAAAGGTGGATTGACGATTTCAAACTTATAACAATTAGACATTATAAGTTTAGGTTTTTTCACGATGTTTTCCTTCATGTCAGTGGTGTCTAGATTATCATGGGAAATTCGAAAAAAGTCACGTTGGATGTTTGGTTTCGAATCCATGCATGAGATCCGAGTGCCTTAATCTCCGGGCCACCACGACGCTTCTTGCAAAGTATGATTAATATGAATTAATGCTAGATCCATATAAATTCCATGTGTTTGGTTGGTTATTAGCCAATGTGATGAGGCATGCTTATCGTCCAGGAAGTTATTGTTGATGTGTACTCATTCGGAAACAGGGAAATTGTGTATTCACTATCCATACGCTGTTTACAAGTTAATTGCTGTAAGTTGTGATTCTTTGTGTTTACTGAGTACTGGCTGCTTATTGTTTCAGTCGTTATTAGAGGTCAATGTTCAGTGGTAATGGGATCTAAAAGTTCTTTTTTTTTAAATATACTTTATTGTACACATAATAGATAAAGGTACATGTGGCGGACTTAATGCCATATGGCATATGATAAAATGAGTAAGCAAATAAGTCTCACCCGAAAATACAAAAACCAAAAAAAGTTTTTACACTTTTAGCAAAAATACAGGTTGCCAAAAATTAATTAATTTTTGTTTTATTTTCGTGTAGTAATATAAGTAATAACAAAAAAACTATCAACATAATGAGTATCGAAACTGTATTACGATAATACATATGTATCAGAACTGTTTTCACGAAGCCATAGGTACAATCTATTCAGAATCTTCAATTCAAACTGACATTACCGTTCTTAGAGAAATGTGGGTTTACATTAAATGTGATATGTTGTTGAATGCATACGATTGCATACAAAGACACGATGTATCATAGAAATCGTGTTGTCACGCGCTAGCGACGAGACGGGAGAGCTCTTCCTTGTGACGTGTGACGTCACTATACTCGTCGCGTCGTCGCACGAAAGTTTGATGTGTGAATTAGATTTGTTAGCGTTCTCTTTTTGAAAATTGATTGTTCGTTTTTGTTAGTCTATGGCGCATGAAGAGGTAGATGTCTGTATTTTGAATTTAAGTGTTCCACAAGACTTGATTTAGTTTCCAATTGTGTAGTTTTTTGACTCTACAATGCAATGGATTATTAAAATATAATCATACTCATACATATCGTTTTCGCATTTCAATAAAAGTATTTAATTTGACTAAGTACATGAAAACCAGCGGATTGCTAATGTTGCCGGTTGATAGTAATTTACAAAACTTAACTTTACAGTAAGCTAAGTAGAAGTCTACCTATATCAGTGTAATCTGGTCTCCAATGACTAACAGTACCTAAATAAAAATAAAGAAAACAATCGTAAAATGGGAAACGGATTGGGTGCTTACACAAATAGTTTAATACAATCTTGATACAATAGAACATAAAATGCAAATCGTTTGGTTACGATCAAGCTTTACAGTTTTGCTCAGAACTGAATAAAAATATCCTCTGCTCAGAATTGAATAATAAACAACAACGCTTTACTGCTTTGTTTACATACGTAAAAATATTTATAAAAAGTAAAAACAAAAGCGTGTAGGAACAATACTTAATAAAATGAATTACAGACCCTATTTTTTGACGTATCAATCATCACCACAGATTAAAAAAGACGCCAGATCAAATTAGCTAGGCTGTCACACAAGACAATAATAAAACAATTTTATAATAATATCATCAATCATTTATCTGTGATCTCACTTTCTCCGTCGCGTCGTCTGATTAATGTGAGAACAAACTGTTTACAACTCCACCAAATAGTTTCCGTTGTGTTGTGTAGCTACAAAAATAGGTATCTGATAAGTGTAGCATTATATAATCTGTGATGTAACTTTTTAATCGAATGTGTGTTCGCGCCAAATGAGTTCGTTAGACTTTTTTTTTGTTTTTGACCAAAGCCGCGACCGCAACTTGGGAACAAATGTATGATATTGCTTGGTTGTGTGAATTTAAAATAATAAGAAATATCAGCCTACATTTGGAGTAATAATTTTACATATTACACATTTGAATAATATTAGCATGATACACATAAAGCTTGTGTATATACACATAACGTTAATCGTAAAAAATATTAAATAGGACATGTTTTAAACAAGGATGTTTAGTCACGATTGATGGTACCTACAGATTATGTTATTATGCTAATTAATGATCGCCGTCCGCCTAGATAATGTTTGCTAATTATGTTTAATGAATCAACATTCAAGAGGTACTAATTTGGTTTTTTCTTTTCGTTACAGATCAACACTGCAAACGCCATTAAAATTCGTAAGTAGATCATAACATTAAATTTAAAACTTTTTGCTTGTTTTAAAAAGTACAATATTCGTCATTTCCCTTTCATTCGCATAAATACTGCGAAGATTATTTTCTTGAAACACAACACATTCATTCATTCATTCACGTTCCTCGTGGATTCAAATTACGAATCGTGTTGAAACTGCACGAACTTGTATTCACACCTTTAAATAAGACAGTGTGTAGTTGCACGTGTCTAGTTTCCTCTACTTTCACACAATATTCATACAAAATAAGATAAAGCTAGCTTGGGGCCTAGCAGACATTCGAAAGGGCGTCTTTTCATGTTCAAACGTATGTACGATACCTACGTAACGATCTTCACTGACGTGCTCAAATAATAATATAAAGAAAAACTGTAGATAATAATACCTATTAAAAACTTATTCTTTGTTTTGTTATCGTGTTCTAGGCTATATTTATGAAGTTTCAGGTCGGGCTAAATTTAATTGGATTTATTAATAGTTTCAAATTTCACCGAACGCTGGCTATGTCTTGCTGTTTAGCAATAGTTATTAACGACAAATCGATTGCACTTGGAATCAGACAGACTTTTGTTGTTCCTTAAGAATTGCCATATGGAAAAAATACTTACAATCGAATCGAATTTAGAATCCTTTCTTCCTCTGAGGTCGGTAAAAGACAATATTTAATCACCACTAGCGGTCTTATCCTTTGTAGTTGTGTTTCTAGTTAACAACTTGGCAACTTTATATGGCGAGTGGCAGTGTTTGGCAGGAGCAAGTGATTTCATTTCACCTATTTACATGAATAACTACCCGGTGACTATGCATGTCCGTTAGAATTAATTAACTGGGCGTTGAATGTCAACGTTTTCGTATAAATATTTGTATTGCTCTCGGTAAACTTGGGATTTGGTACAGGTTTCGGTACATGATTTTACGAAGTATAAACGTTTTTGGAGATAATACATAATAGGAACTGATCTAATGTACGCTACTGATTCTAAAAGTTAAATTAAACCAACATGAACTGTAGTAGCATTTATAAAATAACTAACTTTGTTCTTTTTCTACCAAAAGGTACTCAAAATGACCATAATTTTGAGAGGTACCTAAATATATATTGACCTCCCGCCCTCTGGGTAGGGTAAGAGAGTGACTGTCAGATTGTCAATAACTAAAAACCACGCCTTTCTTGCAACCCTGGCTGAATTGATAACTTACGAAACCTTTACTTCGGTTATTTTAACGTTTTTTATTAGTTTACACACAACCTACCTAATTAATGTTCCACTAGCAATAGCAACCCTATCTGAAATTCAAAATGGCTGACGGACAGTTTCGAAATAACGATTATAGAGATAATAATTATACGAATAATTCAGCTGAGCATAATACATAATAGGAACCAACAATAATTATTGACAAATTGCAGTATTGCAATAGCTTGCACCCTTGTACGTTGGGTCACGACACGAGCGATTTAACGTGGCCACATTACATACGCTAATAACACAAACTACAATAGCCATTATGAAATAATACACTTTTACAATTGACAATAATTCCTCAATCGTGCGTGATGCCCTTGCAGTATCGTTATCATCACGTTTTTGTATCGATTGAAAAAATCGATACAATTACTCGATCCCGATTAGAATATCTCGCGCGCTCAGTTTTGACAGTATTTTTTTTAATTAATCCAAGGCCGCATTATGTTCAGCCTATTGCAAAAGGTAGTACGAATGTAAAAATTGTGTACCTAATTGATTTTGTTTTGGTAAATTAACAAAATTATGTAGGTATTAAATTTTAAGAGAGATTGTTATAACTTTACCTTGTAATTTGTACCTAACGAGTTAAGTAAGCGTAAACATTGGTTAAATTAACACCTGATTTGATTGGAAGAACCTTTTCTTAAACGATTCCCTCCAAGGCCCTATCGTGACCACAGATTATGTAGACTTTATTAGGCAGAAGGAACCGTATGAAATTTACGTTCATAACTGATTAAAATACCTACTTTTGTTTGTGTGATATTGTGATTTTTGGAATTGCAGTGTTCGTGCAACATGCAATGCGTCGCTCACGTCAAATTGAATGAATTAAGTAGCCAGTAACAGTCCGTCCACGGACGTTAAAGTATTCGACTGTTCTAATTACAGTGATTACCGCGACCTAACAATTTGTCTGCCATGAAGTGTTACCAACACGACCATTACATTTCAAGTAACGCCAATCCACTTTAAACTGCTATTTGCTTTACTTTAATTCAATTACATCAATTGCAAATCTTTGCTTAAGCGGACTTTACTTTTTTTTATCTACTTTTTAACCAAGATGTCTTCCAGTGTTTACACATAGAATATCTTTTTATTATTGAATCAAGTACCTACCTAATGTTGTCCATTTGACTGCTCTTACTTCTAAACTAAATGATACTATTCAAGTATGTATGTATATGTATAAGAAAATTTTGATAGCATTACCTACATATTTAAAAATACAGATTACAAGTTGATATTTCTTCTCAACGTCATATCCCCAAAATGTCAAAATTAATCATAGATGGCGCTCAGTAGTTACGAACGTCAAAGAAACGTCATTTATGACGGGAAAATAATGTTATTCAGAGTGATGATTCAAGCTACCCACAGAGTACATTTTAACAATAGGAAATAGAGACCAATCTTCGATGTCAAATTGGGTAACTACTAACAGCGCCATCTGTAATCCATGTTAGACAACATTTTTATTATATATATAACCATATCTATGCTATGGATGTGCATCTATAGATTGTTGGTTGTTTTTCGTTACTGCTCAACTACGTGACTGAAACGAGTAGTAGACAGTGTAATTCACTTTAAATATTTTACAATTCTTATAGTGAATTACACTATCTACTGCTACAACAAAAAGATGTATAAATGAAACAACATATTTGATGAAAATCTAGTTTATTTGTTTTTTCTATAGTACTCGCTTAACTTTTTAGCTTTAACTTGCAATTTGTTCTCATCATCATCAACATCTTTTCTCCCAGCTAATATTATATTGATATTTTTACAGTAATTAAAAATTATAAATCTAATAACAATATTAATTAAAAAATCGATTATTTTTTCTCTATTATACATTTTATGAATGTAAAATCAACAAAACTACTAACAGCTGTATTAATGATTAGCTTTAAATATAATTTTTCTATATTTTCTTTTGTTTGATTAAATCTTGCATATTGGAAATCAGCTCTATTAACTTCTTGCTGGGAGTGCAAAGCCATCGTCGACCTGCGTATTCCCTATATTTTATATACTCAATTTCATTTTTTTCCATTAATAGGTTACAACAATCTGTACAAGTTTTAAATATTTTAGATTTAATTTTCTTCAAAAAATATCCACTTATATATTGGAGAGGTCCAACAATACGGGGATCCCTTTCTTTAATTTCTATAGGTGTAAAATTAAATTCAATAATGTTTGAAAAATCAAACGATGAGCAGGTTGACGTTGTTTCTGCATTTTCGTTGATGGTGAGAGAATACAATGCATCGCAAAAGTCTTTTTCGCAGTTTCCGCGGGTGTGGCCACTGCTTATATTATTTATTAATAATGTGGTGAAAGCCGATTCGAATTGGTCGCAGGTGGGATTAGTATTGCGGTACCCTTGGCTTCTTACCGCCCCAAAGAAATTTTCCAAGGGGTCCTGATTAAGATGCCGCAACCACACTGACGACACGTTAAACTCATTTTGTAGTTTATTTATTCTACTCAGTGTCCACACCCAATTGGTAATGGAGGGAACCGATTGTTTTTTACCATTCGATACAAATTTCATCGATTTAAAAATTTGTACTCCCTCAATCCAAATTTGGTGATGTGCCGAGTTTGGCGTTGCTGGCCCTAGTAAGGGTTTTGCATTTCTATTTTTCTGTCGACTGCCATTCACGGAGTCAAAGATATTGTCCATGAACAGCAGTAAATCAGCGGTGTCCTTACACTCAGCGGGAAGTATGTTCTTACCTGAAAAAAAAAATTGTATGACAGTTTAATCGCCTAAAGTTCTGAATTATATTTATTTTTGCAAACTACTTCAATTGATTTCAAACACGTAACAAGTATTTTTTCAAAACGTGACTGATTATAACACTTTCGTGAGATATTAGATTTTCCGGAATAGTACATTCGCTTGTTGCATATTCTAGTTATACAATAAAACAAATATATGTATCTATCACACACACACACATATATATGTATCTATCTCGTTTTGACTCATATAAAATAAAGTCTGTTTGCTTTGCTTCTTGCACCGGCACAGCTCTGCATCACCCAAGGCTCGACTGGTAGAAAATGCCTTAGGCATTAAGTCCGCCTATGTACCCGCCTTGTGCATGAAGTTTGAATAAATAAATAAAACATACATTACCTGCCAAGTATCCCATATTAGACGCCATAGTACGACTGAATATTTGTGAGGCAAATTTAACCTTCATTTTATTAATTTTTAGAGGGTTGATATGATATTCCATTAATTTTGGAATCAACCTAATGCCTTTGTAACCAGGGTTTTCTTTGAGAAGTAAATTTAAATGCGAACATTTTGCAATTTTTGTTACACCATCTTTGGTGAATTCTAAATCTTTGCACATAAAGTTATTTCTAATTCCTTTGAGGAGATGTCATCAGTGTCATCATCATCAGGTCATAAAGTGGTACAATTTCTTGACCATTTATTAAAATTTTATTTTCTTTAGGCTCTTCACCTTTTCTCAAATAAATTCCCCTGTTCTCATTAATTAACAGTTTCAGAGCCTGTCTGTTATTAGGACCCTGGTCACATACAGTAGCAACAAATATGAACCCTGATTCTTGCAAACCTCTTATCACGTCCTTTATTTGTTGAGCTCGTTCAGGGTCCCTTAGTAGCACTCGACGCGAATGTATATGATATTGCCTGCTTATAATTATAAATTAAGCCACGTAACATAAAGACTTGAGC